CTCAAGTCTTAATGGAAGGGGATTCCCCTTCTAAACACTAAGACTCTCTCCTCCTCCCATCCCATCAATCATCACCAGATCTTCAATAAAAGTAAGTGTCATGTAATTGTGCATGCCTTTTTCAGTTTGTGTGTATTAAAATTAATATTTCTTGTGGTAAAATTTTTTTTTTTCATACTTTGGGGTGTCTTGCACGGATTAATTTGATTTCCATTATTTCTTATGGGGAAAATTCATTCGCATAACGATAATTTTGCATAACAATGAGCTCTCTTGCATGGATTAATATCGCTATGCGGGGGTCCACTGTACTGTATCTTCGATAGTATGCCTACGATCTTGGAAATTTTCTTGGAAATTTGTTGTATATGTCTTTGAAATTTGAGTCTATTATCAAGGTGGATTCCTAAGAATTTTCCCTCTGTGAATTTTGTGATAGGTGATCCGTTTATCATTATGTTAAGAGGGACATCTGTAGCTCTGTTACCAAACTGACTGAAGTAGGTTTTGTCAATGTTTAGCGTAAGTTTGTTAGTCCTCATCCAGGTAGATATTTTCTGTAATTCAGTATTCACAGTATTGGCTAGCATGACTGGGCTCGGGTGAGAGAAGATGTATGTAGTGTTATCTGCAAATAGTGTTGGTTTGAGTAGTTGCGATGCATTTGGTAGGTCATTTATGTATATGAGAAAGAGAAGAGGGCCAAGGACACTTCCCTGTGGGACACCAACTGTAATTGGCTGTGCAGAAGAGTTTGCTCCATTTGTGTACACATATTGGCTTCTGTTGCTGAGGTATGACTTTAGGTAGTTGAGGGAGTGCCCTCTTATACCATAGTGCGACAATTTTATGTGGAACAGGTCCTGGTCAGCTGTATCAAAAGCTTTACGTAAGTCAATGAAGATCCCCAGTGGGACTTCTTTTTTCTCTATTGCAGTGTATATATGTTCGAGGATGTATATAATAGCATCATTAGTATTTTTATTAGGCCTGAGCCCAAATTGACAGGGGTTGAGTAGGTTGTGGGAGATGAGGTAGGAATAGATTCGCTTATGAATTAATTTTTCGAAGATTGTAGAAAGAGGTTGTAAGTTGGATATTGGCATATAGTTATTCAAGTCTGTTTGGTCTCCTCCTTTATGGATCTGGGTGACCCTTGCTATTTTGAGAACTGCAGGGAAGATAGAGGATTCGATGGATTTGTTAAAGAGTGTTGCAATGATTGGTGATAGCACTTTTGGCGCTTTTTTGTATATGAAGGGTGGTAAGGTATTTAAATCTCCTGTCTTGTTTTTTAGTGTGTTGATAATAAGGGAGACTTCAGTTGGGTTAGTCGGAGCTAGGAACAGTGTGTTCGGGTAGTTGCCAGCGAGGTAGTCATTGGGTGGGGTATCTGAGCTTGGGATTTTATTGGCAAGGTTTTTTTCTATAGTGGAGAAGAAATCATTGAGTTTGTTTGTTGTTTCAGTTGGTGGGAGTTGGGGTTCATCTGGTTTTGTTAATTCAATTTCGCTATTTCGTGATATCTTTTTTGTTCCTAGAATTTCTGATAGGGTTTTCCAGGTCTTTTTTATATCACCTCTTAAGTTGGATAATCTGTTCTCATAATACAATTTTTTAGCCCTTCTTATCAGGCTGGTTAGGATTGACGAGTAACGTTTTGTTTGGTCTCTGGTTATGTGAGGATGTTGGGTGTTAGCCAGGAACTGTTCAGTCTCTTAGCTGTCATCTGTTTAGTTTTTTTTAGGGCAGTGCTTGTTATAGAGGTATTGGGTCTTTTTTAGAAAATTATTAAAACATTCATCAGTATCTGTATAGATTTCTAGCTCAGTGTGCCAGTCAATGTTTGTCACTGCTGCTGTGAAGTTATTAATGGCTGCCTCATTGTGAAGTCTGAAAGTGACTTTAGTAGTGTCTTGGGGTAATTTTCCTACATTGGTTATGAGGAAGGTAGGGTAGTGGTCTGTGGTATTATCTGTGATTATGCCTAATTTTAAAGGGGATATGGAGTTCGTCCAGATGTGGTCTAATAGGGAAACACTAGTCTGTGTAACTCTTGTAGGTTTTGTTACTGTTGGTAGCAACATGCAGTTACTCATAGTGTTTGTGAATTCAGTAACATGTGGGTCCTGGTCTTGCAGGAGATTTATACTGAAGTCACCTGAGAGTAGTAAGTGATTTTTATTCATGCGTGCGTCAGTAATCATACTTCCTAGATTTTCACTAAAACGGCTAATGTTTGACTGTGGTACTCTGTAGATGTTTATCACTGTGAGAGGTTTTTGTAGGTATTTGGATTTGGATTTAGCTATTATATATTCCCCATGTTCATCCCTTGTGCAAGTGTTAGTGATACATTCTAGTTGGTCTGAGTAGTACATAGGTGTGCCACCCCCTTGTTGATCTGGCCTACAGTTGTGTATGGCTGTGTAACCAGGAATGGCATATACATCTGTAGTATCAGGCTTTAACCTGGTTTCGGTGAGAGTAATGATGGACATACTGGCATGCAGGGAATTTAGTAATGCTATGAGGTCATCGTAATGCTTGCTTAAAGATCTGATATTGTAGTTAAAGACAGTTATGTTGTTGTTGGCTCTGGGGAGTGCCTTTGATTGTTCTGCTGTGTAGTAATTACAGTTACTGTTTGATTCATTTAAGTCATTCAATAAGAGGTTGGTATCAGGATCAATGCTTGTTATCATAAGATTTAGAGTGAATCTATAGTAAGAATTAAGTATAAGACAAAGTAAATATTCTAAAGCTAAAAAATAGCACCTGAATTATTTTAACAAATATAAAAAATATGAGCTAAAATAGTTCTTTAAAGCTAAAATAAAGGAGACAATATAAAAGGGACTAAAGTAATTTATGGTGAACAAATAAAGTGATGATCAAATAATGGAGCTTGGGAATATAATAGTAGGTAGTTCTATAAAGTTAAAATAAGGGAGACAATATAAAAGGGACTAATACAGTGGACCCCCGCATAACGATTACCTCCGAATGCGACCAATTATGTAAGTGTATTTATGTAAGTGCGTTTGTACGTGTATGTTTGGGGGTCTGAAATGGACTAATCTACTTCACAATATTCCTTATGGGAATAAATTCGGTCAGTACTGGCACCTGAACATACTTATGGAGTGAAAAAATATCGTTAACCGGGGGTCCACTGTATAAGTTGTGGTGAACAAATAAAGTGGTAATCAAATAAATGAGCTTTGGAATATAATGGCAAAATAGTGAACTTATTACACTTTAGCACCTGAGAATACCACCTTTATTATTTTAACAATTGTGAATATATGAACTAAGGTAGTTATATAAAGCTAAAATAAAGGAGAAAATATATAAAGGACTAATTAAGTAATGGTAAACAAAGTTAAATGGACAGATAGTCACTATGATATAATACTGATTTAGAAGTAAGATCTGATTTGTAATATATAATAAGTTGAGCAATTTATTGCACAATAAAAAGTAAAAAAATATGAGGTAGTTGGTACTAGCTAGCAAAAGATAGTTTTGGGACTCACACAATAATGTAATTGGAATGTACACTAATTGCACACACAATGTAAAAGAGACTAAAACAAGAAGTGGTAAACAAAATTAAATGGGCAGGTAAGAACCATGAATAACATTAATTTGGAGTAAGATTTGACTTGCAACACAAAATTATGAGCAATTAATAGCAATTAAAAAGAAGTATGAGGTATTTGAGGTAGTTGGTATTAGCTAGTGAAGAAAAAAATAAAATAAAAAAATAATAATGCACAATATTATAATATTATAATATAAGGGTGCTTTACACTACAGTTTTTAATGTTGCAGTTTAAAAACTGTAGTGTAAAGCACCCTTCTGGCAAGACAGTAATGGAGTGAATGATGGTGAAAGTTTTTCTTTTTCGGGCCACCCTGCCTTGGTGGGAATTGGCCAGTGTGATAATAAAAAAAAACTATTAGTAACGTACACTATATGCACCACACGTATATATGTATTAAGGGCACTTATCTAATCTGTTTCAGAAATGTCAGCTTTTCTAAGGAAGGTAGAGAAATCATGTTCATTTGAGATGGTGTATTGTTGTCCTGTTGATGTTTTCCTAACTAGTATTTTCCCATCTCGAGTGAAACACTGATATATTTTGTTTTCCTGTTTAAGTTTTCTCAACCTGAACAGAAGGTTTTTATGTTTTCTCGTTAGACACTCATTGATGTACACTCCATTTTTCATTGTAATTGCTGATTTAATTAAGTCCTTTCTTTTATCATATGAATGAAGTCTGATCATAATACTGTACTGTGTTTACTACCTTGTTTTCCTAGCAAACGTGTTTCTTTGATTTCATTGTTTTGCACGATAACTTTTACGTGGTCCTGTATTATCCTGATAGCAGTTTCTTTGCACTGTTCTTGAGTTATTTCACTAGGAATGTGAGGGCTGTTTATTATAACTGCATCAGACAACTTATCTTGTTTGGTTTTGTCGTCTTGGAAATCAAGGTATTCATTCAGTCGAGTTTGCATGTTCTGATTCCAGTCCTTGATTGCTTCTTCATCCTTCATATTTAGGGTTGTTATTTGCTCAGTGTGACTGGCTATAGCTGTTTTCAGAGTATTTTCTGTGTCAGCACTTCCCGATGTAATCTTCTCTTCAAGATTTTGGATCTTGTTCTCGAGGTTGGTTATCTTGGATTCTTGTCGTGCAAGTGTTGCTTTAATATCTTCGATTTTGCTTTCTAGAGCGACGATGTAGTCTCTGATATTGTCAGGAATAATCATACCTGAGTTATCATGGGTGCATCCTGTCATATTATCATGTCTAACTCTTATATCTGGAGCATTACCCATGTTATATGATGATGCTCAACTTTTTTATATTCTATTGTGCTGAGTAATTGATTGATTCTCATTCTTCACAAATAAAATAAAATGAAGATATTTACTGTTATTTTCATGTCTTGCTAATCTCATATTATTTTACTTTTTTCCAGTTCAATCTTTCTCCAGAAGAATTTTAACATCAAGTTTCAACCATTCATCATCTACCATTCATCTACAAGTTTCAACCCGTGTGTCAGCTGCAGTTATGCTGGAGATGTTGTGTCAGCAGTCAGTGTTGTGAAGGTCAATATGGTGTCATAGATGTTCTCAATACTCTAGCTATTACATCCAAGTCTTCAGCTGCCTCTGGCTGTAATTTCCCTCATTACAATATCTGTAATACTTAAATATGTTTCAGTATCACCTTCATGTTTGACAAATTATGTACCGTTACATGTAAGAGTATTCATTCATTCCTATGTAATAATAGTAGAACCAATATTATTCAAAAAATAAAACATTGATGACTTGACTACTAACAGTATATTCATGTAAATGTTGATGAAAATGAATGTTTGTAACCAATTATTGTAATGAATAATTTAAAGACTTGTATCCTTGGTGGACTTAATTATAATTTGCACTCATGTAAACTGTGTACAGTACTCAGTTTAAAATGCTTCTTCTGTGTTATCATAACTAATCTATGCCGTTATAACTCATCTGTGTTGTTATAACTCTTCTGTATTATTATAATTCATCTGTGTTGTTATAACTCATCTATGTTGTTATAGCTCATCAATATTGTCATAACTAATCTATGCTGTTATAACTCATCTGTGTTGTTGTAACTCATCTATGCTGTTATAACTCATCTGTGTTGTTGTAACTCATCTATGTTGTTATAACTCATCTATGCTGTTATAACTCATCTGTGTTGTTGTAACTCATCTATGTTGTTATAACTCTATCTGTGCTTTATAATCATCTATGTTGTTAAACTCATCTGTGTTGTTGTAACTCATCTATGTTGTTATAACTCATCTATGCTGTTATAACTCATCTGTGTTGTTGTAACTCATCTATGTTGTTATAACTCATCTATGCTGTTATAACTCATCTGTGTTGTTGTAACTCATCTATGTTGTTATAACTCATCTATGCTGCTATAACTCATCTGTGCTGTTATAACTCATCTATGCTGTTATAACTCATCTGTGCTGTTATAACTCCTTAACTGTGCTGTCATAACTCTGTGCTGTTGTGACTTATCTGTACTGTTATAACTCATCTATGTTATTATAATTCATTTTCTGTATTGTTATAACTCACTTGTGTTGTTATAACTCATCTAAACTGATGTAATGTAACACAAGAATAATTTGTGTAACCTACAAAAGTTTAATAAGAATAATAATTATAATCGACAAGGTTGTACAATTGTTGATTGATCCTGTTGTAAAGAAAATATTTCTGTTGTCTGTCAAAATATTTCATTTCAAAACTAATCTTTAGTAATAATTTCCAAGTATGGACAGCAGGAGAGGGACTTACTCGAGTGAAAATCCATATCACTGTTGAGTATCTGATAGACCTGTTAGGTGATTTTGATTTAGACGGCATATTGTAATCACTCATCAGAGTGTAGAAAAAATATTTGTTCTAAAATCGTGTCTTTTGTAAAAGATGAGTGATGATTCCGGTGAAAATAGTCGTAAGTGTTCAGTGTGTCTGCAAGACTTTGAACATAATTCTACTTTATTACAACACATGAGAGTTCATAAAAAGGAAAAACTGCATTGCTGTTCAGAATGTCCAAAAACATTCTCAAGTAAATCTGCTCTTAATGAATCATTTTAGAGTTCACTCACAAGAAAAACCATATCGGTGTTCAGTGTGTCTGAGGGACTTTAAACTTCGATCTACACTAGTACAGCACAGTAGAATTCATACAGGTGAAAAACCATATCACTGTTCAGTGTGTTCAAAAGACTTTTCACAGAAAGGAAGTCTGAAACAACACATGAAAGGTCATTCAGGGGATAAACCTTTCAAGTGTTCAAATTGTACAAAAAAGTTCTCGAGAAACTACCTTCTGACGTTGCACATGAGAGTTCATTCGGGAGTTAAACCATATAATTGTTCAGAATGTCTAAAAGACTTCACGCAAAAATCAGCTCTAATGCAACACATGAGAGTTCATTCAGGAGAAAAACCATACCGTTGTTCGGAATGTTTAAAATCATTCTCACACAAATCCACACTAATACAACATACAAGAATTCACTCAGGAGAGAAACCGTACCAGTGTTCAGAGTGTTTAAAAGTGTTCTCACAGAAAGCAACTCTTATGAACCACAAGAAAACTCACTCACAAGAAAAATCACATCAGTGTTCTGTGTGTCTGAAGGAATTTATATATAAAACACGTCTGGCAGAACACTTGAAAGCTCATTCAGAAAAAAAGAAATATCAGTGTTCAAAGTGTCTAAAATACTTTTCACGAAAGTTAACTCTAATACAACACTTGCAGATTCACACGGTGGAGAAAACCTATCACTGTTGAGTGTCTATTTTGTCTACCCAGTTGCTTGGTCTCTAATGTAACCTAATCTCTCTCTCTCTCACACACACATCTTGGCTGATCTGATCAATCAAGCTGTTGATTATTGCCACCAGTTAATATTTGTTTCACAGCTCAGTTTACAGAAAATTATAAAATATGTTATTAGAGAGAGTGGTGATGGTAGCTCATGTGGAGGGAAGGTGTTCTTGGTGCTATATGCTTACACACTAATAATTGCACATTTGAATTTTCACTTTTTATTATTTACCATACCTTTACCTTTTTTTTTTTTTTTTGTAAATATTTTTTCATTATACAGAAATCTACCTAGTGTGTGTGATATTTTAGAGGCATAAATAATATAAATTATTTTTCTTCGCTGATCACCAGGCTGTATATTTACTATTAATAATATAGTGGTCCCCTGAGTTATGATATTTATTCATTCCAGAAGACACATTATACTTCTAATCTATTGTAACTCAAACCCTAAAATACCTGGTTTTATGGCAGTTTGTTGCAAGACCTCAGAAATGCAACATTTACTGTATCTAGCACACTGTCAGATGTAACTTGCAGGCACTATCCCCCTTCATCTGCTTCTCTCTTATCCACATTAACAATTACAAACAGTCTTTCCATCACTATAATAATTTCTCTGCCTTTTTTCACTAGCTTAGATTTGTCAGGGACTTTAACATACTTTATTATCTCTTACTTGCTTGATAATAATAGAGATGGTTTGCGGAAAGCCGTACTCGTGCACCGGTGCACCAATTTTTTGCTTGATCTTAAGAGAAATGGCCTGTTTACAGTGCACTTTAGGGGCCATGATAACTTGTTAACATAAAAGATCCCTGAAAGCAATTTGCCACAGCTGCTTATGTTTCATGGGGGGCTGATCGTCAAACTCTCCTTCGACTGCATTCAGCCCTAATTTTATCGAAACTTAGACCATGGCAACCAGATATATTCTGCGGCCTCTCCTGCATCTTTTTCTAAACTTGATCACATCCATCATCAGAGATTATGTTTATGTTTGGGCATTTTTCGCTCCTCACCTGTTGAGAGCCTATATGCAGAGGCAAATGTTCCATCCTTGAACGACCTCAGTGATGCCTCCATTATTTTGTCCACCCTCATGACTGTGTCTGCTCTTCCCCACTACTGTGCACAAAAGCCAAAATACCTGCAGTTGCTTCTTGCTCCCTTTTTCTTAACCACTTCCGGTCTCATTCTCATGCCTTTACAATTTACACAGATTGGTCTAAATCCTCTGACTGTGTCATGTTTGCAGCAGTGTTATCAGACAGTATTGTGCAAGGTCATTTATTATACTTGACTAGCATTTTTACAGTTGAACTGTATGCAATTCTCATTGCAGTTATCCATATTGCATCCATCTGTACTAGTCTCAGACTCCTTTAGTGCTTTGCAGGCTATCAAAAAAATTTGAGTCGCCTCATCCCCTAGTTCTTCGTATACATCTTTGGTTGTACCGCTTTTCTAGCAAAAAAAAAAAAAAGAGAGAACTAAGAAATTGTTTTCATCTGGGTCCCTGGTCATGTTGATGTTTAGGGCAACGAGTAGGTGCACTCTGCTGTGCAGTCAGTGGTACATGACTTTCCAGTTTCCTATAGAGGTATTTCATTCTCAGACTATTTTGCTGTAATTTTTAGCACCTTCACAACTGTTGGCAACATCATTGGTCTTAATTGATTCATAACAAATTACATTCTATCAAGCCAAGGTTAAGGTCCTGGCCTTCTTATCATCAGTGTTGTGGTTGCGAAATTACGCTTGCCTTCGCATCGGGCATTCATATCTCACTCATGGGTATCTCATGGAGAGGCATCCAATTCTACTCTGTGTGAATTGTCAAGTTCCAATTGCAGTTTGCCATATTCTGTTGGACTGTCCTGTCTTTCAGCGAGCATGCAGAATTTACCTCTGACGCAGTCACTGCTCTAATACTCTAAATTTATCTTCTCTCCTTGCTTATGGCCCCACCTTTGACACAGACGCCTTCTTTCCCTTTTTGACAGCAACAGATTTACCGCACGACCTTTGATTGTAATTCTTTTAGCACTCCTCACCACCCTCACAAACTTTACCTCCGTTATACTTCCTACCCTGTAGTGCTGTATGACCCTGGTGGGTTTGGCTCTTGGATTTGATTATTACATATGGTATAATTATAAAATATGATTATAAAATATGGTGTAATTATAACACAAATGCAGTGTGAAGGGTAAATAATTCAGAATTAGTGCAAGGATAATTGTAATAGCTTCAAACTGAAGAATAACGAATAAACTGTAGTACAAATTCTGCTCTTGGCTGAGATGCTACCATAGAGACAGTCAACCCTGTTGCTGATTGAATGCTAAGCCACCTTCACAGATCCCCCACTCCTATTGGCTCAGACACTTTTGAAGAGGTGAGCTACTTGATCACTGCTTGGCTAAGGCACACCCACCCAAGAATTTATTATTCTATTTTTCTCAAATGCTGCTCAAGAGGTAACTACCACTTTGCTGGTTGGCTGAGGGCCACTCATCCATGCTGACCATAATAATAGTGATAATGCAATAATAATAATAATAATTATAATGTGTATGTGTTAATGTTTTAGGTTCGAACCTGTGAATTCCAACAAGGGAGATGTGAATGTATGCACCTGGCAGTTTTGCTGGTCATAATAATAATAATAATAATAATAATAATATTGATAATCTTTATTTCTATAAGTACAGTAGGGCCCCACTTATACGGCGGGTTAGGTTCCAGGCTATCGCCGGAAAGCAGACATCGCCGGAAAGCAGAACGACATTTTTTCCATTTATAAATGCATATAAATGCCAGACAACAAGTTTACACTAAATTATATTAAGTTAGTAATAGAACTAGGCATTAAAAACACAAAAAGTAAAGTACATACACAGTACATCATTACTTATCTTAAAGTATTTGTAATCTTAATGTAGGGCGAGAGGTGAGTATTACTTATTTGTAGGAACTCAGGTGTAGGTAGCCCTGGCTCCCCATCTCATACTTAACCCTTTGACTGTTTCGGTCGTATATATACGTCTTATGAGCCACCGTGTTTGACGTATATATACTCATAAATTCTAGCAGCTTCAGATCAAGCAGGAGAAAGCTGGTACTCCCACATGTGAGAGAATGGGTCTGTGGTCAGTGTGCACCATATAAAAAATCCTGGAGCACGCAGTGCATAATGAGAAAAAAAACCTCTGCACCGTCACACAATGAATCTGTCCATAGAGGTCTGTACCTCCCATTCCTTTAAGATTTGCCTAAAATGGGCCACAACATTGTCATTGTAATAGTCACCAGCACGGCTTGCAATAGCTGTGTTAGGGTGATTTTCATCCA